GGATATTCTATGAATATTCTGACAAATTACTTCTGCATTGGGGATAAAACACTACCAAAAACCATGTGTCCTGTCCACAAAAGGCACATTATGGCCAGCACAGGATATGTGTAGGCGACTATTCTGTAATAGACTTGGTAGTCCAGTGGTTAGAATGCCAGCCTAGCATGTAGCTTTGCGCAGGTTTGCCTCCCAGTCGCGGCAATAACATGTTTCTTCTTTTTTTAGATACACTTACCAGTATGATGTTGTCAACTTTTTATTGGTAAACAGCTTAAAATGAGGACTAATATGTATTTTTCTTTATTTACTTTCTTTATTTAGCCAGTGTGAGTCCATGTGAGGTGATCAGAGTAAATCAACTAAAATGCAGCTTAGAAATGACCAAATTCAAAGATCTTTAGAGACAATATTATGCTGAAAAAAATCAGTACAACTAAAGCCTGAGTCATGCTTCTGCGTCAGTGCGGAGACACGCAACGTCATAATCCATCCTTGCAAGCCTGCTGGAGAGCCCTCGCAAGGACAGATGGAGTCGAGCTCTCTTTTCTAAACATCCGTTCGTCGAGACGGAGAACGCAAGCTTGTGATTGGTCAGGACACTGCTGTCATCTACACAGCCGCCATTGTGCCCTCAAAAACATAAAGAGAGCTGAGGACAACTAGCAGCAGACATGGAGAAGCTTGAAGAATACCTCGTGAAAAAACTCTTGGACTGGAGGAGTGAAAAGATACGCAGCAAGCGTTTTATTTGTGGACGGAAATGACAGGAAACGTGGGTTTAGAGATGGCGAGCGCATGAAGAGGTGGAGGAGAATGAGAGACAAATTTTTTCTGTCCTAAAAAGTCTCTTATATACAAAAAAACACAATATAAACACACAATCTTGGACCCGATACGTGACAGGATTCCACAGAACAGCGCTACGCCCTCTGTTGTCCTGGTGGGGAATTGTTTTGCAACACGAGAAGTATGAGGGCAAATTGTCTCCATCCGTGCGTGTGTGTCTCTTCCTTTTGGAGCTGACGGGGAAGTATAAATCCAGCTTTAAATATAAATAAATGAAATCTTCTTCAGCTGGTAAAATAAATTACGGCCAACAGTGGGAGTTGAACCGGCATCGGCACATGGCAAAACGAGAGGAAATGTAGGCGCTTAAACTATCAAGGCCAACACGACAGCAGGCTTATAGAACATTTAAAGGGGTGAGTTTCTTATATAAACGAAATGGTGAAGAGCCTGTATTTGTATAGCGCCTTCTTAAGCTTGGTTTATGTTTGACGCATTCACTTTCCGCGCGGTGATGCGGCTCGCGGATGGAACGCGCTTCACAACTGGCAGCATTTATGGTACGTGCGGTTCATCTCTGCGGTGAGCCAATATTCTCCCAAACTGAACGGGGCAGCATGGAGCTCTACGGCATGCATCCAACACTACACCATAGTAGAAGTAAAAATTACTGTTGTTTACAACATGGCATTTCAGCATTTTTAACAGCGTCCTCGTCTTTTCCGACAGTGCGAGCTATTTCTCTCCAAGAATTAACTACATGTTGATCCCGGTGATCTCTGAGAGCTGAATCATACAAATGTCTGTATTTACGAACCTCTGCCATACTAGTTCTTGCCTGTCCGCCATGTTTTTCTGCGTCCGTCCGTCCGCGTGGTTAGAAATTTTCCGAGGTGCGCGTTGCGGAAATCTTGGGCCGTGCAGAGACATGGTGGAGGGGCGTGGTTGTTAAAATGACGCAAAATGACGCAACTTTTCCGCACGGAGCCGTGCGGACCTCGCGGACGCGTCAAGCATAAACCAACCTTTAGGGTTCTACAGTCCCCCAAGGCGCTTCACAACACAATCACACACATTCATACACTGGTGATGATGAGCTACGATGTAGCTGCAGCTGCCCTGGGACGCACTGACTGAAGCGAGTCTGACGAACACCGGTCCCTCCGACCATCACCAGCAGGCATGGTGGGTTAAGTGCCTTGCCCAAGGACACAACAGCAGCATTTCTGCAGGAAGCCGGGATTGAACCTAAATCCTTCAGATTATGCGCTACCTCCTGAGCTGCTGCTGCCCACTGTTACTCATTGTTTTCAAGTGTAGAATATCTGAACATGTTTTACTGTATTACTGGTGGAACTCAAGTGAAACTGTATAATAAAGATTACCTGAAAAGTGATTCTTCAGGTGAACAATAGAATAGAAACTGTAGTGTTGAGATAATATTTGGGGACGGAGTTGGTCTAATTTCAGTCCAACAAACACGGACACACTATCATAGCTTTATTATGTGACTCTGATAATCCCTGTGCTGCCCAAGAGCAACCTTTTCTCCATCATCACTTCACCCCCTGGATTCACTTGTCACTCATTTGGCTGTGAGTGTGTTCTGTCACTCTACTGATGTGAAGGTCAGCTTGCTCTCTGTATTAGGACTTCTTGTCCTTTCAACTCCAGCCTACTTGCCTGTCTGCACCCCCCCACTCTTCTATCTCTCTTCTATTCCCTTCCCTCTCTTTTATTCGCTCATCGTTTCTGGCAGCTTGGTGGCTCTTGTATCCATCTGCAGTTGCGCAGCAGCAGCAGAACAGCAGTCACATACCTGCATTCAAGTGGAACAAACAGGATGGTTGGTTGCTCACAGAAGGTCATCAGCCTTGGGCATAGTGTGTGTGTGTGTGTGTGTGTGTGTGTGTGTGTGTGTGTGTGTGTGTGTGTGTGTGTGTGTGTGTGTGTGTGTGTGTGTGTGTGTGAGTGCGCGCGCGCACGAGTCGGTGCTCTAAAATGAGATGAAGGGTCATCGTGTCTCTAATGGTGCAGTCGGACACCCTGCAAAGCAACTTTACATCCTGTATTATTCTAATCTCCATTCTTTTAGTAGTCTGGATACAACAGCTCTTATTCATAAATACTCAACAAAGAGAAATTTGAAGCTGTGGCTGGTTTTGAGGGTGCAAAGGTGTCAATTTGGACACTGTGCCACAATTCTTAAAATATTTCCTGTTAGCTGCAGAAAACAAAGATCTTTATGTGGACGCCCACTTATTTTTACACCTTGAGAGCCGTATGCCCTTGCAGCCACACAGTGTGTCCAGTCCAGAACTCAAACACTTGCCACCACTTTAAAAGTGCTGCAGTGACGGCCACCAGGCTAATGAATGGTGACACCTAATCTTTGTCATCCCTAATTGGCGCTGCAGGTTTGATTAAAAGCCGAGTCATGTCAGTTGCAATGTGGGGAGCATGTTTATTACTGGGCGCTGTGTATTCCAGGATCTGCAAAGGTGCGCTGATTATAGCGTAGCTGTTTGTTATGCTAATAATGCACACACCTGTTTAATGCTGGAGAGAAAAAAATATCCTGGTTGATCTTGGGCTTTGCGAAGCATGGCTGTGTTTTTGCCCCTCATTAACCTTGCCTGCCCTCTACCCCCAGCATTTCTCCTGGTTTACTTCCCATCTTTCTCCCCTGTTTTCCTGCAGCCATGCAGTTTTTCAATTTGAATTCAAATTCAAAGATACTTTATTAATCCCAGAGGGAAATTAGAGTTTCAGTACACACAATTCTGAGATCAGACATACATACATACATAGACACATGACAAGAATTGGTGACTGTGGTCATTCGCGACCCGAGTCCCGAGTTTTTGTTGTGTTTTGGGGGATTAATGCAGTTCTGTAATGAGATTCTCGTTTTGTGAAGACTAGGCTGAAAGAAAGCATTCGTTGCTTGGTTCTGTTCCTTGTGCACGCACACACACAGACACACACGCACTCACTCACCCACCATCATCATCATACCAGTAATATCCGATTACGCTATAGCATGCAGGTGAGCCGGTGTATTATTAAAAAATCAAGGGTGAAGTCAGATCTGTGAAAGGACAACACTACCTAATGGAATGAAAGTGAAAATATCATGCCGTTAAATGATTAACCTGAACCAATGTTGTTAATTTTTCCTGACCTTTATTTATCCGTGCCCTTTTCAGAGCAAACCTTCCCTAAACGGGAAGCAGAAATGAACGGTAACAAGCTGCGTCGCTTCAACTCTGGAGAAAGTTGGAGCGTTAAACTCGGTTGCACTTTTGGACTTTTGAGTTCCCCACTCAGCCGCGCCTCCTGTGCTACAATTTATCCACAGGGAGTTGATTAGCTGCCTTTCATCCTGACCATCTTGGGTTGTGCATGTGCTTAATACTATTACTGTATCGAAGTTGTTTACAAACATGCAGCTTTCTGTCTTAATAACCACCCACTCGGTGTGCTGCGTCCCTGTGTGAACACACTCACGCACACACCTACTGATGTCCACGTTGTTTGATATGTGGCCCGAGGCAGAGCGCGGCTCCCTAACGAGCCTCCTGCCCTCTGTGTTTTTGTTTTGGGTTTCTTTTTCTCTGTGGAGGTGAGACAGAACTAACCTTGATGCAGTTGCGAAATGATGCAACCTGCTTACACACACAAACATGAACCGCTGTGCTTGTGGAAGTACTTCAATGACTACATCTTTTACCAAGTTTGTGACATTATCACCCATCCCAAAGTAGCTCTCCTCAGCTCCAGATTTAACCTGCTTTTTTTGGTTTCAGCTGTATCTGTGATGCAAGTCAAAACCCCGAGAATTAAAAAAATACATTCTGGAAATGTGTTTTTATCCAGAGTTTTTGTGACATTTTTGTAGTTTAGAAAGTTGTTGAAACTGCAGAAGGGGCCTCATTATGGTCAGATCAGCTGTTTGAACTGTGACCATAAGTAAAACTGGTGATTAGATGATGCTTTCATTCTTATAATTATTATGGCTGACATGCAGATGTTAAACATGATGTAAATGCCTCGAGCACATTAAAATATGTTCCAAGGACATCACGTTTTCCATCCTTTTCCTGTTTGACTGCTTTAATACTGACTGTTTGCCTAAGCATCTGTGTTGCATTGCAAAGGACTTCCGCAGACACTGACCTGCTTCTGTCCCTGTGTTGTGTGTCTCCTAGATCTGGGCCAACTATGAGGAGAAACCAGTGGAAGAGGTTGTGCATGTGTCAGAGGAGAAGGAACGTGTGACCAACTACAGACCAGTATATGTCACTGAAATTGCAGATACTCTTCACTTCTACGCTCAGGATGTAGAGACAGGTACAACAAGAGAGTTGTATAAATGTGGAAAGATATTTGTGACACTTGTAGATAGAATAAAAAATCATTTAATTTTTTTTTTTTGTTTAGGAAAAATGAAATTGGGGCTTACAAAGCAGGACTAGAGCAGCATCTTCTGATAGACATCATTTGACAGGAAATGCATGAAACTATATAATCTGATTTCTATTGAAATTGCTGCATAAACACTAGTTTTTTCATGTCCAGTGGCTGGATTATGAAACTTTGCTGCTTAGCACTAAGAGCTTATTTATTTCAACAAACAAGTAAGTTTTCTACAACTTTTAATTCCATTTGACACCTGGCTGACTCTCTAAATGGTAATCGTCTCCATCGGTCAGACGTCAACTGCAGCAACATTCCTCTCACCCAAACAAAGGACATCCCATTTGTTCCTACTATTAAATGACTTGAGTAATAAAAACTACAGCTGCAGGTGGTAGTAATTTACACACAAGCAAATTTGAGCATTTGTTTACCTTCATAAGCACTTGAAAACCTACTAGGTGCCAAAACTGCCTCATTTGCCACTGGCGGATTATAGTTTCAATTCAAGTTCATTTTCTCATGAACAATACATGAAACAGTGTTACACATGAAACGTGCAACCGCTGTCTTGTTCTAGCTCCCAGGCTTAAAGAACAATACGTGTTTCACACTTTTGGAGAAGAATGCACGGGGAGTCCTAATAGTGTTGCTACCAGCTTATGTTTGGTTTGGTGTTGTAAAGCCTTGTAATGACCATTGTTGGGTAACTTACAATAAAAAGTAAGTGGTTATAATTACAAAATAACCATTTCCAAAAGGTAATAGTTACTCAGTTACCACATTGTAAAAGTAATTAGTTACCTAGCAAAGTAATTGTAATGCTAATTTTATGCTCTGTAATGCAGTGACGTTGTATAATATTTATAACGTGAATGATTCTGAATGATTCTTACTATCTAGAGTGAACATTTCAGATATCTAAAAACTTCATTCAGTAAGAATTTTCTTATAAATATCTGGAATACATATCCAGTCTGCCTAATAAATAATAAATAGGCCACCTTTTAGGGATTCAGAGATGTCTCAAACTTAAATCCTACTAGTGCAGTTGTTATTATGGATAACTTTAAAGCCCCAGTGTGTAATATTTTTAACAGTTTACTATCAAATCTTGTGTTTCCAGTTCACAAACGTGTCTGTTTTCTAATTTCGCATCAACATCAATTCTCAATATTCCTCTCAACTTGAAATTTTACATTTTATATACATAAACTGTGGTCGACGCTCCATGGTCATCCACCATCTTAAAATACAGTAGCTGTTTAGGGACATACGAGCTCCACGTTACCTGTTTGGACTATGACTGTAACCTGAAATAACCAGCAGAGGGCAGCAGTGTGCTCTGGAAGCATGGAGTCTGCTAATTCAACTAAGAAATGGTAAAAGAATAGCTACATCGTTGCTGTACTTGTTAGTTTGATTAATAAACAATTAAATCCAAAAGACATAAAATGTGTCAGTCCGTCATCATGTCCAAAACAAGATCCCTGCCCCCTGTTAGCTGGACGCCAGCCTCTGATTAGTGTCTCTGACTCCCAAACTCACCTCAAGTTGCTCATTCGTCTTTTCCTAATACCTGAACTCCCGAAACGGTCCCAACGTGTCCGTTCCAAAGTCCTTCTACTCAAGTCTCCTCTCTTTTCTGTTTTTGTTCTGTTCGCACCTGCAGCCTGCCGTCTCTCCCAGCACGCTCCAGCACTCGTCCGCTAGCCAGTGGCTAAAGCAGCGTTGTTTACTTTATCTCCACAACACTTTACTAATGGCATTGTAGTTCTCTACGCGTTACAGACGTGCTTCTCCGAGGGCTTCTTCTCAAACATTAACTTTAGACTTTAGTCTACTTTGGCTGGTAATCCATGGGAGTTTACGTGCAGCATACGCAGCGTGTCCCCAGCTCTAGCTATGGCTAACTAGTAGCTCGTGACGCTCATCTCCACCACGCCAGCCGTGAGCTACGATTAGCTGGTGGATAAGTCAGCACTGTTTACTTGATCTCCACAGCGTGTCCTCGGCTCACCAACCCTTCTGCACCAGCTGTGGTTAACGAGCAGCCATTGATCACTCCATATCTATTAGATGGTAGCGGCAGCCAGTTTGTTTACATCAAGCACACCATGATCCACATGAAATAGGTGTTGTGGGAAATTATGTTTACCTAAAATATTCTATTTCCCTTAAGCAGTGAAGAGCAAATATTTCCAAATTCACAGAACTCATTGACCATTATGAGGGCTAAACTACCTCAAATAAAAGATGGTTAAACGGATTACCTCCTTTTACATAACTTTCAAAAATGATAAGCTTGCTGCAAAAGAGTGAACAAGAATGTTTTTACTGTACCTTTTTTATTGTTTTTAGGATGACATATAGATAAAAAATCACAAGATAACATTATTACAATACATATTTTCCCGTAAAACTTGATCACAAATGTTGTGAAGATGCGACCTCCCGACACGGGTGGACAGATGTCAAATTCTTAAATTATAAAGATAAAAACAAAGTATTCAAATTATAAAATACCATAAAACAAATGAAAGAGGATTACAAATTTGAGTTAAAAATAAGAAAATTAAATATTTAGGTGAAAGGAGCTTCAAATAAAAGCGTGCACGTGTGTTTGTCCATTTTTGCCGTTTGTAACGCTGGCACGGGGTAGGATGGGGGGGGGGGTCTATGTCACTCACTTCGGCTTCCCCAAGAAAGGGCCGGCTCAGATAGTCTCCGAGAGCCGTTAAGTGCATGACAGCCGCATCACTGCTGTGGCTGTCAGAGCCTGACAGCACTGCTGTGCTTTCAACCACACTGTAGTAACATGCCACTTTACATGCCCAGTAAAGGTATTGGCGTTGCAATGATGGGAAAAGTAATGAATTGGATTACTCCGTCATCTAAAAAGTAACACTGTTCAACTGAAGCGCCGTTTCTCCCAACACTGGTAAGAACGGAGCATTAATATCGAAGCCATTTAAGGTTATTTTTGTTTAAAATAACAAATTCTCTTTTATTCCTGAGTTATTCATATGCAAGTTTACTTTGGAAAACAAGGAAAATGGTACCGGTAAATGGCCTGTATTTGATATAGCGCCTTTTAGAGTCCTGGACCCCTCAAGGGGCTTTATAACACAGGCACACCCTGATGGTGATGAGCTACACTGTAGCTACAGCTGCCCAGGGGCACACTGACAGAGGCGAGTCTGCCGTACACAGGCACCACCGGTCCCTCCGAACACCACCAGTAAGGTTACGTGTCTTGCCCAAGGACGAACCAGCGACAGGCCGAGCGGAGCTCTAACCTGCAACCTTCCGATTATGGGGCGAGCACTTACATCCTGTGCCACTGTCGCTGTACAGATAAAACTGAGCAGCAGCGCTTTGGTGCAAATTGATGCTTCTATCATCGTCCAGGTCAGGGGGTTACTCAGAATTTACTGCTATTTTAACCAAAAGCAGCTTCCTCCATAATAATTCAATCGTACATGAGTGAAAAGTCTGTTTTCCCTTTTTTGAGTTATATAAAAAATCTCAAGGCATTCTATTTGGTATTGTGCACAAACAAACTATTACTTCTCTTTTTGCCGTGATCTGTGAATCTAAATCAAAGCCTGTGCACTGCCTCCGGCTGCAGTGCTTTTGCGCTCAGTCAGTCGGGAGCATTGTTCCGGTTCTGCTGAAGCTTTTATCATTGATGAAACTCACGTGTCACATCGAGGGCAGAGATGGACAGAACGTGGCTGAGACATAAGTCCGAGTCGATGCCTTCAGCAGCATCTCCGGCCAGTAGGGAAAAGGTAAAAGGCAGACGTGTCAAGAGGAGGAGTTGAAGGTCTTTTGGGGATACCTGCTGCACATGAGCAACGCGCGAATGAGCTAATCAAAGTGTTTTTATTGATTTTTAGCATGTCTCTGTAGTTCCTCGTGTCTGCCAGAGAAACTGTAAGATGCAAAGCTTTAACAAGTTCCTTTTCCTGTTTTAACCCAAGCGCTGCATGTCAAGAAATTGTACACAAACAGCATTTTTCCTATGGCTGCTCTGTGTATTATGACAGGAGAACTGTGTGCATTCAATCTTTTCTCCTAAAAAGCCCTTTATTGTAGATGATCCAGCAAAGCTGAGGTATTGCTATTTATACATTTTCTCCCTTTAATTGGCTTCTGTTCTTCCACCAAGAGGCTTATGTGGTAGTTAATGTTTCTCAGCAAGGAAGCACTACCTGAACGGTCCTCGGCCCCTCTGCCTCCCTCTCCCATTTGTTTGCCCCCTCCTCACCCTCCTCCACCTCTCCTACCTTGGTTTCTTTCATTTTTACCAACGTGACCTCAAAGCTGCATTAAGTCATCCCAGCTTTTGGAAGGTAAGTGTTGGATCTTGTAAAATCACACAAGCTGAGTGCTTTAAAATGTCATTATATGCCCCTGCCCCCACCCCACCACATTCCAAAGTGAAGGAATTTATGAACTCAGATAAGCTGAGAAGCTGAATTTCTCAGGTAGTTTGGTGATTACAGTTGACGACTGAATACCAGCTTACAGAAAGCATGGGTCTAAGTGCCGCCAGTATTGGGTCCATCGGAGTGATGGCGGTCCGCGCCCATGTGTAACAACATAACTTTCAGTTTGAACATCGTCCTTGTGCATCCTATACATCCCATTGCTCACTAGACATTCAGTCTAGACATAAAATCCTCCTTGCCCTCTTTGACCAATACTCGGTAGTAAGAACACATTTAGAAGTAGCTTAAGTCATTTTTGACTTTAAGTTTTAAAAAATACATTAGAAACCTCAAATGGCTTATAGGAAGAACCCAAACCATATTTCCTCAATTTTGTTTATGATGATGATGATGATGATGATGATGATGATGCATCAATGAATAAGTCGCGATTTAACTGAAAATGTAAACACAATCTATGCTTACGCACCTGTGGTC